GAAGTGATATTGATTGAGCTGCAACACTGCCAACTAAGGCGGGCCTTAATGCAAACAATGCGTAACTGGCTATGCGTATCGATGCGTAACAAAACTATACGTATGTGTGCGTGTGTGTGTGCGTGCGTGTGCGTGTATTAATCATGACTAGTCCATTTAGATACCCTTCTGCAGTTATTACTCATTGTGCAGATAATCAGTAATTACCCATTCCGAAGATACATCAGTTGTAACCCATTCAGTAGATACATCAGTTATAAACAATTCAACAAATACACCAGTTAATACTCATTCAGTAGATACATCAGTTAATACCCATTCAGTAGATGCATCAGTTATAAACCATTCAACAAACACATCAGTTAATACTCATTCAGTAGATACATCAGTTATAAACCATTCAGTAGATACTTCAGTTATAAACCATTCAACAAACACATCAGTTAATACTCATTCAGTAGATACATCAGTTATAAACCATTCAGTAGATACATCAGTTATAAACCATTCAGTAGATACTTCAGTTATAAACCATTCAGTAGATACTTCAGTTATAAACCATTCAGTAGATACTTCAGTTATAAACCATTCAGTAGATACTTCAGTTATAAACCATTCAACAAATACATCAGTTAATACCCATTCAGTAGATACTTCAGTTATAAACCATTCAGTAGATACTTCAGTTATATACCATTCAGTAGATACTTCAGTTATAAACCATTCAACAAATACATCAGTTAATACCCATTCAGTAGATACTTCAGTTATAAACCATTCAGTAGATACTTCAGTTTTAAACCATTCAGTAGATACTTCAGTTATATACCATTCAACAAATACATCAGTTAATACCCATTCAGTAGATACATCAGTTATACACCATTCAACAAATACATCGGTTAATACCCATTCATCAGACACATCAGTTAATACCCATTAAGTAGATACATTACATATCACCCTTTTAGTAGATACATCAGCTTTAAACTATTAAAAATACATCAGTTATAACCCTTTCATCAGATACATCAGTTCCAACCCATTCAGCAAATGTATCAGTTATAATCATTCATCACATACAACAGTTATAACCCATTCATCAGATACAACAGTTATGACCCATTAAGTAGATACATTACATATCACCCTTTTAGTAGATACATCAGCTATAAACTATTAAAAATACATCAGTTATAACCCATTCAGCAAATATATCACTTATAATCTTTCATCAGATACAACAGTTATAACTCATTCAGCAAATATATCAGTTATAATCATTCATCAGATACAACAGTTATAACCCATTCATCAGATACAACAGTTATGACCCATTAAGTAGATACATTACATATCACCCTTTTAGTAGATACATCAGCTATAAACTATTAAAAATACATCAGTTATAACCCATTCATCAGATACAACAGTTATAACTCATTCAGCAAATATATCAGTTATAATCATTCATCAGATACAACAGTTATAACCCATTCATCAGATACAACAGTTATAACTCATTCAGCAAATATATCAGTTATAATCTTTCATCAGATACAACAGTTATAACTCATTCAGCAAATATATCAGTTATAATCATTCATCAGATACAACAGTTATAACCCATTCATCAGACACATCAGTTATGACCCATTAAGTAGATACATTACATATCACCCTTTTAGTAGATACATCAGCTATAAACTATTAAAAATACATCAGTTATAACCCTTTCATCAGATACATCAGTTCCAACCCATTCAGCAAATATATCAGTTATAATCTTTCATCAGATACAACAGTTATAACCCATTCATCAGATACAACAGTTTTAACTCATTCAGCAAATATATCAGTTATAATCATTCATCAGATACAACAGTTATAACCTATTCATCAGATACAACAGTTATGACCCATTAAGTAGATACATTACATATCACCCTTTTAGTAGATACATCAGCTATAAACTATTAAAAATACATCAGTTATAACCCATTCATCAGATACAACAGTTATAACTCATTCAGTAAATATATCAGTTATAATCATTCATCAGATACAACAGTTATAACTCATTCATCAGATACAACAGTTATAACCCATTCAGCAAATATATCAGTTATAATCATTCATCAGATACAACAATTATTACTCATTCAGCAAATATATCAGTTATAATCATTCATCGGACATAACAGTTATAACCCATTCATCAGATACAACAGTTATAACTCATGCAGCAAATATATCAGTTATAATCATTCGTCAGATACAACAGTCATAACCCATTCATCAGATACTTCAGTTATAAGTTATAACCCACTGAGCAGACACATACTCCTGACTCTGGGCCGACCAGCCATTGCTGTATCTCCCGACTGCTGAAGCAGAGTAACAATAGGTATTTAGTCACGCCTTTTGGTATGGCAGGAACGGGGATGAACTATCCAGGCTGTATCCGCCGCACCACTGAGACGGTAACATGTTTATAGACCACGTCGTACACCTGTAATACTGCTGAATGCGGCGTCAAATAAACACACATTCATAATATAGAACTGTACAATCGACTCTACCGTTAGAAGAGATTTCCTAAAAATGTGGAAAGGGTTTGTCGTTTCTATTTGCATGTCATAGTGATCGATAACGGCGATCCTTCACATACTATCCTCCATAGTCTAAGTAAACTTAGGCTCAGTATTATTCGTTACACTGCTATACCGAGATTAACAAAACCTAGTAGAAGGCTAGTCAGCTAACCTTTTGGACTGACCAATCAGAACACAGCTTACCAAATCGCGAAAGTTAACATTCGCACATACCGTTTGAACCTTTACCTCAAAACCTCGAACGATTCCGAATGCTATTTTCCGCACGATCGCTTCCGAGTGATACACGCAATGAGTAAACAGTCGCTGAAAATAGCGTTTTTGTCAATATTCAAGGATGTCAACTTGCGAACATATAAGCAAATAGTCATCATGTCATTAGAAACCCATAAGCGTATATACTGCAGGTCAAATATCTGTGTTTTATGCGGATTTTCGTTTGTTGATAGATCAGTGTCAGCGACCAGGGAAAGAGCATATCCCAAAACCGTTTCGTAAGTCCCGCCGAACCCTAACAAGTAGTCGTTGTCTGATTGGTTAAATCCGTTCGGCCGTCTCAAGTTTGATTGGGCGGGCATAGGTCGCTCAAAGGTTAGTTGACGCGACCTTCTACTAGGTCGTGTTAGACTCAGAATAGCAGTGTAACGAATAATACTGAGTTTAAGTTTACTTAGACTGTATCCTCCACGGCTTTATCGGAAACGCTGTTATTTCGGAAGATTGAAAAAGAATAGTGAAGAATGTCGGAAAGATAGATATCTATTTTGATGAAGTAGGTTTTATTGTTGTGGGTAATCTTCCTTACAGTTGATGAAAGCAATCAAAAACACTTGAACGCAAGATGTTTTAAAGGGACGGTGCTCATGCTGTTGATCATTGAATTGTCGGGTCCAGACTCGACTATTTACAGACCGCCGCCATATGGCTGGAATATTGCGGCGTTCAACAACAAACAATCAATCAAACATGAAATAAAGAGCTTCAAAGGGAAGATCTTGAAAGAATAGATCCGTTCCGGAAGCTGAAGTATTGTAAGCCCCACCAGCCCGTCTATGGTATTGAGGAATACCTTTGGTTACTAGTGATCTCTAGACTCTTTGTACTGTTCTATTAAGTGAAGATTTATTATTGTACATGCTTGTAATAGTTTTAAGTAAAATATGTGATAATACAGTTCTGTTGACGAGAGAATACCGTTCAGATATACATGTATAATTTGTTTTGAATGTAAGATTTTCCCCCGTACGATGTGGATGAAATATTGTCCATGTAACTTTATATTTTAACTCACTCACGCACACTTGAACGAACAGCAAGAGAACCACTGATAAACATTGTATGCAGCTGAGTATTCTTCATGCAGAATGCATTACCTTAAATGCATTGTGCGCAGGTGAAGCGAATTGGATTGATGAGAAACTCAGCACAGTCTGGAATGGAATATTTTCATTGGATGACTTTTTAGATTTGAAACATAATATGTTCTGAAGGGATCGCTTTGGAGGTACGGGTTGGGATAAAAGCTGCTGCAACAATATCTATGACTAAGGAGAACTTCAATGATGTGAGGTTCCAAGACCTTGCAAATGGCCGCTTTACCAGCAGTATCTTAATCAGAACAATGTTAATGTGTTACTCTTGTTCGCAGGATACGCTGATTTGCCATCCACTGAACACGTCTGGAATGAAGTGGAGCGACGTTTAAGACGTCATCCGAATCCTCCAACAACACCGCAGAAACCCCGCCAAGCCTTCCTCGGATAAGTAATGATCTTCACCTGGCGTTTCATCGACGTTTAGTGCCTCAGTGAATCGAAGATGCCAGGCTTACATCAATGCAAAAGGCGGATATTTGTGGCAGTACACGTTTAACACTCAACCTGTTTGTTGTTTGTGTGTCAAAATAACCTTTGCCTTGGAGTATATTTCGCCCGAAACAGATGGTCAAACACAAACCGTGGATCGCGAAAACGTATAGATATTTCATGTGTTATGAAATGTATGAAAACGGTAGCTTGCGTGTTGCATTTAACTGTCTTTTTTGGAAATACATTTGCTCAAATGTCTGGGTGTCAGTGACTGATTTTCATCAGCCAGACATTAGAATCCCAATCTGCAACGGGCTGAGGGTGAATGAGCATTAATGCAATGATTGGATATTAAGATAATTCTTGAGTGAGTGGGTATGGTTTTACGCCAATCTTCTGGGTAGACCAGAAACGGGCTTCACACATTGTGCCCATGTGAGGAATCGAACCCGGGTCTACGGCGTGAAGAGCAAACGCTTCAATCACTAGGCTACCCCATCGTCCCACGATGGCTCTGAGGTCAACCAATGTTTATGAGCAGGCGAACATGTACGTAAAACTCTAAAAGCACACAATCTGATTGATAAATACATTTTATTTAACTGTCATAAATCAGTAACATATATTTCCCGAAACTGTTGACCACAATAAAGTAATGTATGCATTGTACACATATTCTAAGTTTGAATGTTTTTTATTAAGGTCACATTAACGTATAATATTCTCTTGCGCATAATTGTGTATATTTTCGTTTATTTGTTCATGAATCCGTCTTCAAACTTCAACCTGTACGCATTTTCTCTCCCAATGAAACTTCTATCCCTCTATTTTGTACAGCATGTCGCCTTTCTGGCTGAACATGTTTTGGTTATTATTTGGTTTCATACCCTCAACTTAAAAAATAAGACTCTTCGTCGTGGTGGGGACAGCTGTGGAAAGGTCAAGGACGACGTTTGTGTTTGAGGCAGGCACAGCACTGAGTGACTGCGATCACGATGAGTTCCACAAACTCCATGAGGGACACGAGACTGAAGCCCATAAACAACCCAATCATTCCACCGATAGAACCTGAAAGAAGAGCAGACTTTGAAAATACATGGCTGGTGCCGGAGGTTCCTTACTGATAGGTCCACCCTGCAGAAAATTGGTACTCGGCGGGAAGTCGTATGACTATTCACCTTCTAGCGCCTCACATGCAGCTTAGGTTATTCCGCGGTAATAACGTCTATTATGTTGCGTGCGCGTATATCAAACATGGTATATGTTCCCCTCTGTTTGTCTATTAGGCTCAGTGGAATCGATAAATAACCGAGACTGGTTGTTCTCCAGCGTCTACTTTTCGATTAACTATTGTCTCTTCCTCTCGCTCGTTAATACAGATCATACTGTAATATTGAAATTTGTACGATAAACCCCTGAACGTCCGGGTTAGAGTTAGTCAACATAAACCCATGCATTTCGTAAAAGACGACTAACGTGAGCGTGTGGTCAGGCTCGCTGACTTAGTTGACACATGTCATCGTATCCCAATTGCTCATGCTGTTGATCACTGGATTGACTGGTCATTACTCAGTTATTTACAGGCCGTCGCTATATAGCTGGAATATTCCTGAGTGTAGCATTAAACAACATCATACCAACAAAAATACCATATCTACTTAAACAGTTTGAAATAAACATATGAAAATCACCTGTGGGAATAATGGATCAGCTGATGACACAACGTCACTTTTGCAAATAAAGAAACAAACGCCACAGTAACAAATCCGTTTACAAGTGCCCATATCTGCTACATCCTCGAGCACGCTGTGGAATAGTAAACATTTCTTTATGTTAAATACATTTGTAGTGTAAATGTAATGTCAAGTTATGGCAGCCTGTAACACGACCACGAATATACCTTTGATGTATACAACACACAAAAGATAAACTCTTCTGTGAAATTAATTTTGGGATTTCAGTTGCTGGTGATCTATAGCCTGTTATTATATTGCAACGTCCTAAATAGTATATATATACTTTTTGAGTCACTCACTAGTTTTAAATCTCTAAATGTGATATTGTAGTTCTTTTACTGTCCTTCGCAGACAGATGTTAAGATATAACCTTACAAATTATTTAAATATGACCCTTTTAAGTCACGATATGGCTGAAATATTGCCAAAGTGCCTATAGAATTTAATTCACTCATTAATTTTTGGATCACAAGAGAGATGAGCAATGAATTAATTTCAGCCAGTTTCCAAAATCTTATGGCACCTTTTGAGCAGATCACTATTGCTTTACGTTCAAAACTGTCATATATTACACCATTTGTGGCATTGTGGAAATGACTTTATGATAATGTTTGTACCGCGTGTAATAAATTCATGTTGTGAGTAGATACTGTTGAGTGCCTATGTGCACCATCTGCCACGGGCAGCAAATGGCTAAAGCGCTCATAAAATATCGAGCGTTGTCGAAGCAAGATCGTGGCGGTAGACACTGACTGCGAAATATTTTGAGTTTCCGCCCCTTGTTGACAAACATGGCAGACTTGATCTTCAAAATGTTTCCATATTGAACAGTTTCTTGTATACATTTCTATTCGGTTCATATTTGAAAGATGGGGTGTGTTCATTTACTGATTTCCTACTTAAGTTAAGCTTTAAGTTTTGATAAGGAAGTCACCTTGCAGCCATGCTATGAGGTGAGGTGAAATGGGGTTTAACGTCGTGCTTGAGAATATTTCGCTCATATGACGACGTGCATGCGTGTGTATGTGTATGTGCGGCTGCTTGTACTAGCCCAGACTGTAGCTGGTTTTATAGTGCTAGCCCACTGAGATACCATGCCGCAGTGAAGCACGAATACCCCACTCACATTATACTGACTCCGAGCCGACCAGTTCTTGTTGTACTCATTAATGCCGAGCGCCAAGCAGGGACCAACAAGTACCATATTTTATCGTCTTTTGGTATGATGCGGTCGGGGATCGAACCCGCGACCCTCCGCTCTCTGGGCGGACGCTCTAACCACTACACCACCCATGCTATGACTGACTGACTGAGTTGAGTTTTACGCCGCTTTTAGCAATATTCCAGCAATATCACGGCGGGGGACACCAGAAATGGGCTTAACACATTGTGCCCATGTGGGGAATCGAACCCGGGTCTTCGGCGTGACGAGCCAACGCTTTAACCACTAGGCTACCCCACCGCCCCCCATGCTATGAACACAAACAGGATTGCAAAATCTAATTCATGTAAATCACGTTCTTATTATGACAGTATATTCAGTAGATGTATACCTTTATAGGTGTATGTAAATGTCGTGTACTATGGCAGGCCGAAAACGAAAAATGCCGCAAGCTTTCTCATATGTTATTCAATAGAGCACAAATCTATCGCATTTCTAATAGTGTTAATTTAATTTGGCACAGATATGTGGAAAACACATTTTCGACATAACTTCTATTGCCATCTTGTTCAGGTTCAGATAATGATGCTTAATAGAAAGCGGGACCGATAACGACATACGAAGGGGCGTAAATGCTGAGTCAGCGTGGACAGTTGTTCATGATGTCAATCACCGGTTCATCTAGTCCAGACTTGATCATATTCAATAGGCTGCTATTCAATGGTAGTGTGGGGCAGTGGGTAGCCTAGAGGTTAAAGCTTTCGCAAGTCACGCCGAAGACCCGGGTTCGATTCCCCACATAGGTACTTTGTGTGAAGCCAATTTCTGGTGTCCCTCGTCGTGATATTACTGGAATATTGCTAAAAGCGGCGTAAAACTAAACTCTAAAACCCACTGTAATGGTTGTGAGTGCTGTACATAGCGTCCTGGCACAAGCTGGACAAGAGGGATTTTATGACTGCTCCAATGCCCATCAGTCCTGTTTAGTCCAGTTAGTCGTCCGTTGTACAACGCCCACAAAATGAGGTGAGGTGAGGTGAAATTGGGTTTAACGTCGTGCTTGAGAATATTTCGCTCATATGACGACGTGCATGCGTGTGTATGTGTATGTGCGGCTGCTTGTACTAGCCCAGACTGAAGCTACTTTTATAGTGCTAGCCCACTGAGATACCATGCTGCAGTGAAGCATGAATACCCCACTCAAACACTTTATACTGACTCCGAGCCGACCAGTCCTTGTTGAACCCATCAATGCCGAGCGCCAGACAGGGACCAAGAAGTACCATATTTTAACGTCTTTTGGTATGACGCGTTCGGGATCGAACCAGCGACCTTCCGCTCTCCTGGCGGACGCTCTAACCACTACACCACGGAGGCGGTCCCCCACAAAATGAAAGGGCCAAACATAATTGACTCCATATTGTCCACAGCGTCACACTAGGATATGCCATCAAAACGCTACCGACTCTCTGCATAAAGTGATACTTATTCATCATGAACATTCTAGGTCTTTGATGGCATTTAGAAGTGACACACATAAGGAAGACAGTTTTTATGGATGTCAACTTCTCCTCAACTGTTCCTCTTAATAAAGAATTTCACATCAATAAAAACTTTCTTCCTTACGAATACGCTATTAATACATTTTTCACTTTTTCATCCATAGTTGGAGTGAGTGAGTGAGTATGGTTTTACACCGCTTTTAGCAATATTCCAGCAATATCACGGCGGGGGACACCAGAAATGGGCTTCACACATTGTACCCATGTGGGGAATCATCCATAGTTGGACAAACTGATATAGACATATGTACAAACCCAGTATTGTCTCCAGGGAGTATACCGGTACTTGGAGGATTTCAGTTTTTACTGCAGCTGCACTCATCAACTCCAGGTGGATCATGTGATACTCTGGCCTGGAAAATAGAGTTTATAACAAGTTATTCATTTAGTACTTGGTTATTTTCATTCACAAGCCACTTGGACCAATGCTCATCGTTAAAGATCTGGCGAGTAGTTGCATATTTGACCAAGCCATGACTCCCGAGAGTGAGTGAGTGAGTATGGTTTCATGCCACTTTTAGCAATATTCCAGCAATGTCATGGCGGGGGACACCAAAAATGGGGTTCTCACAGTGTAACCATATGGGGAATCAAACCGGGTTTTCGGCGTGACGAGCAGTCTTCTAGCAATATGGCGGTTGCTCTGTAAATAATCGAGTATGGACCGGACAATCCAGTGATCATCAGCTTGAGCATCGATTTTCGCAACTGGGAACCGATGACATGTGTCAACCAAGTCAGCGAGCCTGACCACCCGATCCCGTTAGTCGCCTCTTACGACAAGCATGGTTTGCTGAAGACCAATTCTAACAGGGTGTTCAGGGTTTGTAGGAAACATGAAAATTTTAATAGAAATACATGCTCAATGTGAGGGCGGGGTAGACTATTATTGTGTTACAGCGATACAATTCTGTAACAAATGTAATATCTGTGATTACACATTCTCAGTAAAGTACAGATTCTAGTACTTTTGTTAGGTTGAGTCCCATCCGCGATTCGAACCCACACTCTCAGAGTCAGGAACCTAATCGCCAGCACACAATGTCAGCCAGCCATCTAACCTACTCAGCCAGCGCGGCTTCCAAACTTTATGTGCTCTGAGAGTGTGGGTTCGAATCTCGGATGTATACTTTACTGAGAAAGTGTAATTCCAGCCATACAATTTGTTACATCTGACCACTTTCTAAATGGCCTTGTGTATTCACAGATATAATTCTGTTTCGTGTCTTCAGCACTTGTCAAAGGAATCGAAATACACATCTGACAGGTTGGGACCAAATGAAGTCTCCCGGAAGCGTGTGCTCAGTTACACCCACTAATGTGACAAATATGAAAATACACAAATGCTTATCTCCTTAACTAATATCGTATCTCTAGTTATACTGACTTGACTATCTCACTGCTGGAGAGATAGGAATCAAACTCGGTCTCCACACACGGCGCGGTACAGTTACACCTCTTGTTGTGCTGACCAAACAATCCTGAAAAAAATAGAAGTTTCATGTATGTTATTTTCATGTTCACTCACTCACTCACTCACTCACCCACCCACTCACCCACCCACTCACTCACTCACTCACTCACTCACTCACTCACTCACTCACTCACTCACTCACTCACCAGGGTGCGGTTGTTCAAGAGCATGTTGTCAGTGTGTTTGACATTTACTGCTTCTACTCACCACTTGATTCTTCCATACACCTGGGCGTGACCTTCGATGAACACATCTTCTCATCACCTGTTGTGTAAAAATGACACGTGAACACGGACTTAAGCCACATAGTGCTGCTTTTTGCCCGATGGAAATGTAACATTGACACGAGAGGCAGGGTATAGGAGGGCTGTGAAGCTAAAATATGTGGGATATTATATTAAATTTCAAGGCAAAAATCAGCACAATACGTATTCCTCATGAAACAAATTTCTTGGACAAGCAACCTTAAACACAAATTAGCTTTTCCGCACATTTTAATAATTAATAATTAAAATAATTAACATTATTAATATTTTTCAAAGCAAATCCAGAAAATCGTCAGTCTCTACGTGCTACTTAATCGCTGATCTTAGATCCATGAGATGAGTGAGTGAGTGAGTGAATAGTTAACGTCACATCGGCAATATTTCAGCCATATCATGACGATCCATGAGATGAGGTGTATTAGGGTACATACACGGATGCCAGCATGGTTCTCCACAGAAATATTGTATTAGCGTATACAGAACTGGCTCACACTTTGGTCCTTGGGACTGGTTCCACTCATTAATACCCATAGTGTCTTTACAATACTGATTGGAAGTATATAGTATTATTACCCATAACACGCCTTAAACAATTTCATGGGAATAACTGCATATAGAAAACAAATGTGAAAATGGTACTTTCACAATTTATAAGAAAAGATGACAACGTACTACATGAGAACGCACATAACAACGATTTGGATGGCCCTATCCGATATGTAAATTAGTTCTTAGATTCCCTTATCCCCCCTGTTTGTGTAGATGTAGTTTGACTATTTTTGCATCATTATAAACGGAGTACAAGCCATGTCTTCAAATGTAATGAAATTACTGAAAAGATTGCAACAGTTTAGTTAACGTCATTGCTTGTTTTATGCATTTTGCGAGGTCTGAAAAAGACGACATTAGTATGCTGATTAGTATATAGCTCACCTAATTTCCATTAATTGTATAAAAGGGCTTCTGTATCAGAATTTAACACTCTTTAGACAAAACATAAAATGACTGATTTTACCATTACGATTTAAATAATGTCCTGAATATATCGACAATGTAGACTAGATACTAGACAAGATACTGGTTTGACTGTGTATGTTATTGTGAACAACAAGATAGATTTCTCAACACTTGTTCGGCATCAATTTAGCGTAAATGAAAAATAATATTTAAATATGTGTGCATATATTACGTTTCATAAAATGTAGAAATTATTTTCATTGATATTATCAGTTTTACTTATAAGGTTGAATCACTGTTCATTACCCTGTTTTTTATGAAACTGCAATATGAGTCTAATGTATTGAATATTGTACATCATAGGAACTTAAGTACATGTTGCAGTCATGGCTACGTTTAATTTTCTAAACACTTGTGTAAAGGTTTAAAATGTGGTGTACTACACTAAATATGTCAATTTCTTATGTAAATATTATTCAAATAATCAAAAACTTTCAAAGAATAATTAACGTATACCCTATATCCACGTATGACATGATATTTAACAAGGATAAATGTAGATACTGAAATTAGTTTCATGAAAAAATATCTGAACGATACGCAAAATAAACATCATAACACACCAAATAACGCTATGAATCGCGATGTTGTAATGTGTCAAAAATGGCGACATTGACGATGGAGTCTATTTTGAAAGGTCTTTTACAGCACTTTCCTTTTTTCTAAGATAATAGTGGATAGTATCAGGAAATTTCCCACAGCAGGCGCGTAGCAAGCCATTTCTTCCGTGTAAGCCCGATAGGTTGCAAATCTTTATATTTAGATAGTATTGAGGGCTTTACCCAACTTTCACAGCAAACATCATGTGTAAGCCTGGGCGTGTTTTCATTATGGTAGCTACGCCCTTGCACAGAATTCAAAACTGTGATATGTATTTGTTTGTGTGATATATCTAGAATTTTATTGGACTTCAAAGTGAGGGTTGAAGAGGAAGGAAATATATATGTCCCTCTGGAACCATGGGGGTTAAGTCACTGACAACATCGGATTTTTCATTTGTTTGGAGCCTGAGGTTTATCGTCGGAAAGTATCAAATTTGACATCATAGAAAACGGAAATACAGTTCGCAAGCTTCCCCGTGATTTAACTGTAATAATTCAATGCAAAACTGCACTTTATTGCACTGTTCTGGGGTTAGAGCAAATGTGTTCTTAAGTCTATGAATGGTTTACACATGTCAATGAGAATACAATGTCTTTTTTTATAGACACGTAATCAAAGACCCAAGAATTTGTTGAATTGTTGACACATCGACTGATGTCACATCTCGAGAAGACATGAGTGAGTGAGTATGGTTTTAGGCCGCTTTTAGAAATATTCCAGCAATATCACGGCGGGGGACATCAGAAATGAGCTTCACACATTGTGCCCATGTGGGGAATCGAACCCGGTCTTCGGCGTGACGAGCGAACGCTTTAACCACGGGTCTACCCCACCGCCCGAGAAGACATGAAGCCATAAGATCAGGAATAATACGGGTAAAATCCATTCCACATTCGTAAATCTCGTGCGAGTCGAGTTTACAATTGCGTCTGTATAATGAGAGGGGCGGTGGGGTAGCCTAGTGGTTAAAGTATCCGCTCGTCACACCGAATGCCCGGGTTCGATTCCCCCCACATGGGTACAATGTGTGAAGCTCATTTCTGGTGTCCCCAGCCGTGATAATGCTGGAATATTGCTAAAAGCGGCGTAAAACCCAACTCACTCACTCACTCTTTATAATGAGCTTATGTCTAGGACTCACTATCACATGGGTATGATACAAGGGACCCAATCCACAAAGCGTCGTAGCACTACGATATCCGTAAGCCTATTGTTGGTAACGCCAGGAACGCTTTGTGGATTTGGACGCATATGTTCGCGAAAAGGTAAGCGTATCCTGCCTCACCAATGTCACCCTGGTGCTAAAGATATGTAAAAAAGTAAATTTTCTAAATCAAACAATAAATTCGGGCACTTATGGTATGTGTCAAAATAGGGATCTATATTGGACAACGATTCTATCATTGACGCCTCAGATGAGGAAACGCCCTCTGTCATAAAAAATATTTCTGAGGCACCGACGGCTTGAACACCCTCACGGAAGAAAGCTGTAACCTTGAGATAAGACAATACCAGGATTCATGTAACAGTGGGGGTGCAAAATGATCAAATTTACCTGAATAATTATAGTTACCTGGATGAAGATAATACCGACATCCACAATGGGCGATGGTAAAGTTGACAAAACACTCGGCAAGACACGATTCTTCGGTGTATGTGCTGTATCTAGTCAGAGGGTTCACGAAGCTGGGAACTTCCGTGTCTATGCACTGCTCTCCCGTGAACGACTTGTATGGTGTTGTCAGGGCCCTTCTCTGACAGATCAATATAACATTATTCAACCTTTCCTGAACAGAAACTCTGTAATATACATTCGGTTCGTATTTGGTTATCCATTCTGACTGGGAAGCGGATACTATTTAAGTTTCTTTAAGAGCAAGCATAATTATTATGAGTGATCGTAAATAGCAAGTTTGCTGTATATTCTATTCTTATGAGGGGCGGTGGGGTAGCCTAGTGGTTAAAGTGTTCACTAAAAGTATCATTATTGATTGTAACATTATGAACCAAGTTTTAGTTCAAACTGATAGTGAAACACTTTTAGATTACATGTTAAACCGCGGACAAAAGAGAAAGTATACATTTGGAAATTTGTATTTCAGTCTCCTTGTAGAGTGTGAAAAATCTGACACACGTCAATTGTGACGTCATGCGCATGTCACCTACTAACCATTGAAAATATTTATGTAAGATCGCCTGTGAAGTCATTATCAAATACATCATCATGAAATACCAATTGCTTGTTTATTCTACATTCAGCCACCATCATACCATCCTCTTCCAGAGGTTACTTGCCATATCTTCCCACGAACCTCTGTTCTAATACGGTCATATTTCCCGGTTCTCATAAAGTCCCCTAGCGGCAATAAATCTCAACACAAATTATCTCCCTTCTTTCTATCCAATCAGAACACGTCTTACATCGACTTAGATCCAACTTGACTAATACAAGCAAATATGGGGCCACAAATATCCCTTCTCTGTCGGGGACTTATGTTGATGTGACACACAAGACATTTAATGGCTAGCTTGTCCGTTGTCAGCGAGGGCGATGGAGACGCCATTGATCCGCCATTACATGACTGAGTTGTGTCTAGAAGAAACGTTTGCGCATCGCGCAAGGGAAGAAGTTCTAGTTTTCCCAAAGCATACAGAAATTATCGAGGCCTTGCGAATGATCACATTTGAAACAACGTCGCTGATTGCACAACTAAATCTGATTGCAACCAATCACGAATCCTGAACACTCGCACCATGAAAGGGCCGTATTAGAACAGAGGTTCGTAGGAAGATATGACAAGTAACCTCTGTGGGAAGAGGATGTCATCATACATGGGTGAAAACTTTCTTTTGATCGGTAGTTTAAGAAGAGTCTTATAACCAGAAATAGAGAGTGAATGAGTATGGATTTAGGGCCGCTTTTAGCAATATTCCAGCTACATCTCGGCAAGGCAGATAACATTGAACCCAAGTTGGGAATCGAACCCAGGTCTTCAGCGTTACCAGCAAATACTTTAACCACTAGGTTACCTCACCACCACCCCATTAGCAATAATGTAACATTGTCTTTGATGTAAGTTACAACACGTATATGAGTAATGCCAGTTAAAAAGTATTGAAACCTACAATGGTTTTTTTGTACTTGATGCGACAGCTGGTGTTGACGGGTACGAAAACTTTTTTCTTTCTTGGAAACGGTGTTTCATCCTTCGTATGAAGAGTGACCTTGAAAAACACAAACATTCACAAACATTCTCAAGTTGCTGTGGAGTTCGTTTCAATGAAAATAATAGAAAAATGGAACAAACTGACCAATCAGCATAAAGTGAAAGAAAAGTAATAATTTGCCGAAAACCTGCCACTACAACACAACTGGAACCCAGCTGATTTCCGTGCGTGTTACACAAAATACGTCTTTCTGGTACAATTGCTTCTGTGACATCAAGTAAAATATATCAGAATGAAATTTAGAATTGAAGAAAATGTTTGTTGGCAGAATATAATGTACCAGGAGATGATACAGTTGTGTCAGAGGTCACCTCAATGATACAGCTACAGATTGGTAGATGCCATGTTACCTGTAAACCCACTCTGTGTCCCGGGAACGACCAGGTGAAACTAGGTTTCACAGCTAACACGATATCCAACGGCACTTCAGCTGAATCCAAACTGACATTCTTTGCCTCAAGAACCTTCAGAAGCTCCGACGTCTTGAACGTGTTGCAGACGCCCATGTCTGTCACCACCTTCTTGTAAAACTCAGAATCAGGGAAGTTCCAGCCGCCTCTGTCCAGAGATGACGTAAGAAGTCGAGTTCGTTCTGTGCTGTTAGCCTTGTCCAGCAAACACTGGCCAGATTGGTCAGTATCATTACAGCCAGGGGCATTCGACAGCACCAGTGTCTCTGTGTGGACAGCAAGGTTCATCATTCTGAAATCTTGAACTTTATCCTTCCACACGTCACTGTAAAAGGTGAATGCCATTGGTTCCTGGCCACATATCGTCACTTCCGGAATGTCAAAGGCACTCATGGGGGTTTCCTGTATATTGATGACAGTTGGCCACTCATAGTAGCTCTTTAACTGCATGCCTATCACTACACTCAGAGACGCCGCCATTGAGAACACCATGAGAAACCAAAAACATCTGAAAGAATAATATTATATTTTAAAGGCTATATTAATCATGTGGCAAAATGTATCGGTGGTGTATTAAAACAATACCATGCCAATAATGGTTGTCACCCTCTTTCCCCACCCCAACCCCCCACACCCCACACCCCTTCTCCAATTAAAAAATTGAAGGGGGTGACAACAATTATTGGCATGAATATACATAGTGATTAAGTTAGCAGAGAAGCATATTTGTTTTTGTACGTGTGCTACAACTGGTCTAGTAAAAGTGGCGAATTTTATTCCTGGGATTGTAACACACACTTTTTTGTATATATACAGAGTTAATTTTCTCGAAAATATGCAGTTACGTGTCCTTTAAATGGTCACTTAGAAATATTCAAAGGAATTCATCCCGTAGGTGTAATTACGATTGCAGAGTGTACAGAATGTAGACAGACATTATTCCATCCTTCTTCGATGTTTTCGTCAATGACATATCGTCCTAGACTATAGAAAGTGCTAGTTATCATCCAGGAAATCTTTAATGCATAGATATAAAAATGTATAGATATAAAAAACGTACAGACTAATAGAATTAGGAGTAGAAGTGGTAGTAGTAGAAGCAGGAGTAGTAGCAGAAGAAGTTACATTAGTCACAGTAGTATAGTTCCTCCATCAGTACTTGGGCTCACCTTTGACCAGTGTATATGGAATTGGCCACTGTTGAAGGTAGTCCGTGCACGGTTGACTTGGCAGCATACTTGATGGCCAGGTCTCTGATGCTGGTCGTGTCCTCCACGTTGCCCTCTGGCTTGTTGTACGTCACTGACTTCATGCTGATAATACAACACAACTAATAATGTTGTACACGTGTTGTACGTCACTGACTTCATGCTGGAAACAACTATTAATGTTGTACACATGTTGTGCGTCACTGACTTCATGTTGGTAACACAACTAATAATGTTGTACACGTGTTGTACGTCACTGACTTCATGCTGATAACACAACACAACTAATAATGTTGTACACGTGTTGTACGTCACTGACTTCATGTTGGTAACGCAACTAATAAATAATGTTGTACACAAGTTGTACGTCACTGACTTCATGTTGGTAACACAACTAATAATGTTGTACACATGTTGTACGTCACTGACTTCATGCTGGTTACACAACTAATAATGTTGTACACAAGTTGTACGTCACTGACTTCATGCTGGTAACACAACTAATAAATAATGTTGTACACATGTTGTACGTCACTGACTTCATGTTGGTAACACAACTAATAATGGTGTACACGTGTTGTACGTCACTGACTTCATGCTGGTAACACAACTAATAATGTTGTACACAAGTTGTACGTCACTGACTTCATGCTGGTAACACAACTAATAATGTTGTACACATGTTGTACGTCACTGACTTCATGTTGGTAACGCAACTAATAATGTTGTACACAAGTTGTACGTCACTGACTTCATGCTGGTAACACACTAATAATGTTGTGCACATGTTGTACGTCACTGACTTCATGCTGGTAACACAACTAATAAATAATGTTGTACACATGTTGTACGTCACTGACTTCATGCTGGAAACAACTAATAATGTTGTACACATGTTGTACGTTCCTGACTTCATGCTGGTAACACAACTAATAAATAATGTTGTACACATGTTGTACGTCACTGACTTCATGCTGGTAACACAACACAACTAATAATGTTGTACACATGTTGTGCGTCACTGACTTCATGCTGGTTACACAACATAACTAATAATGTTGTACACATGTTGTACGTCACTGACTTCATGCTGATAATACAACATAACTAATAATGTTGTACACATGTTGTACGTCACTGTCTTCATGCTGGTAACACAATACAACGAGTAATGTTGTACACATGTTGTACGTCACTGTCTTCATGCTGGTAACACAATACAACGAGTAATCTGAATATCAAAACCCGTGGTAACGACCAAGGTTATACAGTAATATAATATGTGGAAAACTAACCAATGTTCGTTGTGATGGGTAATTATATAACATTCATAATCGGTTAAACCTACAGGCATGATGAATCTCATGGTAGACAATATGAAGTAAAAGCGACAAATATATTTCCGTTATAAGAGTCCAACTGTTACATAGATGTGTTAGCGAAATGATGAGCAGATCCTTCACCAGCAATTTTAATCGTCACAAACACATGCAAACCAGGTCAAGTGTTCATTTGAACAAACACAAGGACATATAGTAAAGGGAACTTCATCGGACACAATTTTGTTCAGTGTGTGAAATGTAATAATACCTACGCTTGTCTACTATAAAACGTATTGCACTACAAGGACCATATATAATGCAACCCTGATCAAACAACCTTTCCTTCACAGCCGTACGACACTATTTAGAATGGGGCGGTGGGGTAGCCTAGTGGGTAAAGCGTTCGCTCGTCACGCCGAAGGCCCGGGTTCGATTCCCCACATGGGTACAATTTGTGAAGCCTATTTCTGGTGTCCCCCGCCGTGATATTGCTGGAATATTGCTAAAAACGGCGTAAAACCATACTCAGTCAGTATTCAGTCAGTCACTATTTAGAATATTTGTGTTTAGTCATTTCATTAGTTTGAAGCAAAGCGAATTAATTTGCAGTTAATCGTCAATTCCAGTATACAATAATTGACACTTGAAGGTTGTTCTGTGTTATTTGATTTATTGTTAAAGTTGGTTTGGTTTGCCAGTACCATAAACGTGTTTATAGGTTTCTTAACAGTGGAAAATGTCATTTGCGTCTTTCTTCCCACTATAAGCTGACTCAACATGATATACCTGGCAGGAAATACCACATTAGGCGGAGTCGTCAAGGTCGCCTTGTGATTACAGCATTCGCTCGTAACACTTGAGGACTGGGTTCAATTTCCAACATTTATGCAACTTGTGAAGCCAGTTTCCGATGTTCCCAGCTCTGACTATTAATAAACGTTGGCCTTAACATACACCCACTCACTCACTCACTCAAAGCGGCAACTAACACTGCCCGTAAGAAATATTAAGCCTCGTCTGTACTTGGTCGACACGACGAGTCCATTTGTAACACAACGTTAACAGGGGAGAAAAGCTTCATCACAGATGCCACAGCAGTTTTAACGTATGTCACTTGGTACTGTGAATGTTGTAGATAGTTAACATCACCAGCACTGTGTACGTGCATTACCAAGAAGATGACTTAAGATGTCTTCACATAATGTCCATATGTCATCACTGATGCAACGATTTCTTTCAACATATCATTCACCAGTACCGGGCATGTATGTTCACCGAAGGCAGTGTTAACTTGTTACACGATCTCCGCAATAATGTGTAATCTAGTTGAAGTGTTTTAGATAACTTGTAATTCACATTGAATTTTCATCACAAATGTAACCGCCTCCGTGGTGTAGTGATTAGAGCGTCCGCCCGGAGAGCGGAAGGTCGCGGGTTCGATCCCCGACCGCGTCATACCAAAAGACGTTTAAATGCGGTACTTGTTGGTCCCTGCCTGGCGCTCGGCGTTAATGGGTACAACAAGGACTGGTCGGCTCGGAGTCAGTATAATGTGTCTGAGTGGGGTATTCATTCTTCACTGCGGCATGGTATCTCAGTGGGCTGGCACTATAAAACTAGCATAAGTCTGGGCCAGTACAAGCAGCCGCACATACACATACACACACATGCACGTCGTCATATGAGCGAAATATTCTCAAGCACGACGTAAAACCCAATTTCACCTCACCTCATCACAAATGTAAAACAGTCTCGATGAAACCACTACAGCACATGCAGTCTCCTCACATATGGCGTGAAGTAGTCATAACACGGCAACTTGTTCATGGAAATACTCTTCTCCTTGCTATTTTCTTTCTTTATTTGCCAGCTGAATTTTCTTGTTCATTTTAGCTGTCATGTAATTAGTTTAGTGATCATGTAAACGGTGGGTGGGAGGTGATAGTAGCAGGACAGGGCGGGGGATTGGTTGCTGTCCCGTTAAATTTTAATCTCGAACCAAATGCATCCAACAAACTAAAATATTGCAAATTCTTCCAGGATATAGTCAGTCGTAAACTGGTTTCCGAATGGGTAGAATGGCATTCCAATAGACATACACACAGACACCTCTGATGTAGTGAAGCAGTATCCATGTACCACCTCTGATGTCCTGAAGCAGTATGCATGTACCGGCTCAGATGTCGTGAAGCAGTATGCATGTACCACCTCAGATGTCCTGAAGCAGTATGCATGTACCGGCTCAGATGTCGCCAAGCAGTATTCATACACCGCCTCTGATGTCGTGAAGCAGTATGCATGTACCGCCTCTGATGTCGTGAAGCAGCATGTACATGTACCACCTCTGATGTCGTGAAGCAGTATGCATGTACCACCTCTGATGTCATGAAGTAGTATGCATGTACCACCTCTGATGTCATGAAGCAGTATGCATGTACCACCTCTGATGACATGAAGCAGTGTGCATGTACCACCTCTGATGTTGTGAAGCATTGTGCATGCACTGCCTCTGATGTCGTGAAGCAGTATGCATGTACCACCTAGGATGTCGTGAAGCTGTACGCATGTACCACCAATGATGTCGTGAAGCATTGTGCATGCACTGCCTCTGATGTCATGAAGCAGTATGCATGTACCGGCTCAGATGTCCTGAAGCAGAATGCATGTACTGCCTCTGATGTCGTGAAGCAGTATGCATGTACCACCTAGGATGTCGTGAAGCTATACGCATGTACCACCAATGATGTCGTGAAGCATTGTGCATGCACTGCCTCTGATGTCATGAAGCAGTATGCATGTACCGGCTCAGATGTCCTGAAGCAGAATGCATGTACTACCTCTGATGTCGTGAAGCAGTATGCATGTACCACCTCTGATGTCATGAAACAGTATGCATGTACCACCTATGTTGTCGTGAAGCAGTATGCATGTACCACCTAGGATGTCGTGAAGCAGTATGCATGTACCACCTAGGATATCGTGAAGCAGTATGCATGTACCACCTCCGATGTCAAGAAGCAGTATGCATGTACCGCCTGTGATGTCATGAAGCAGTATGCATGTACCACCTCCGATGTCATGAAGCAGTGTTCACGTACCACCTCCGATGTCATGAAGCAGAATGCATGTACTACCTCTGATGTCGTGAAGCAGTATGCATGTACCACCTCTGATGTCATGAAGCAGTATGCATGTACCACCTATGATGTCGTGAAGCAGTATGCATGTACCACCTCTGATGTCATTAAGCAGTATGCATGTACCACCACTGATGTCGCCAAGCAGTATTCATACACCGCCTCTGATGCCGTGAAGCAGCATGTACATGTACCACCTCTGATGCCGTGAAGCAATATGCATGTACCACCTCTGATGTCGTGAATAATCTCCAAGTTATACCTCTGATGTCGTGAAGCAGAATGTACATGCACACACGTGGTTGTCACAGCTGGGCAGGTTTTACCAAACCCGCCATGTGTGTCATCGCGTGTTCAGCATACTTCAGTTCACGGTAACCTCGTGTATAGAAACCTGAGAACAACACATGCTTAAAGTACATGAAGCAAGCCATTATTTTGATGAAAATTAATTTGTATTAGTAAATATATTTTGTCGTTTATTGATTATTTTCGCTGACAATGTTTGAACGATAAGCACAGATGTTTTCAGAATGACTTATACTTGTATGGCATATTTGCTTACTGCTCCCTAATGCCATGTCGTCTATGCTACGTTTACATATCCCTGGAACAGATCTGCTGACCGCGCAGCATGTGCATGGTG